TCAATAAAAAGTGATAAGAATTCAAATAACTTAATAACTAGTACTTGTGATAGTCATATTGGACAAGCAATGGATTATCAACAACACCATACATGTAAATTTCTCTCTTTTTAAAACATTTCATGATTTAAACGTTTTATATGGTTTTCTAGGACAATAAATATTCTACGTTATGATATCTCAGGTTGCTATTATTTTGAAAGAATTCTTAATATATACACTCTTATACTAACTGGACAATAAGAAGTAACTAGTGACACATTTATTACTTAACACTGACCAAAACTTATCCATTAAGTTGCAGTATAGAACACTAGACTAACTTAATAGTGCAGTTTTTTGGTGTTAATAACTGGTAGTGATCGGAAAGCATTGGATCTATGTTTTGTGCCGACTGATTTACCGGCAAGGTGTGTCCGCATTCCTTAGAGAAACTAACATCATATTCGGACCCAGATGACTCAATATCAAGTAGATAGAGAGCTTTGTGATAGTCACTTTTAACCGCTTAAATTCTGTATCTCTCTTGCCGCAGAAGATCAGTTGTTAAACAACTTTAACTCCAACTACCTTCTTTTAGACTAGAATTCTGTCAATCTACTTTTGTTTAGGTAGCCCAATGCTATTGCACTAGTTTTCAAATAGAGGCTCGAAACCTATTATTTCATCCGGTGGTTATTGAGTTGTATTAATCACTTGACACGATTAGCGCTGTGACCTTTTTTTGAAACTTTTTATATATTTATTTTTTTCTTAATCTAATGTCCACAAATTTTTTTGTCATATAATAAGCCCACTCATCCGAAAAAATATCAAATCAAACCTTTACTTACCTACCTGGTCCTACGTCTACTGAATTTACATCCAGTAAATCTACTTTCGATAAGGAGGTTCAAATAGGTTTGACAATTGCACGTTATATGGAGGAAAACTTGAATAATGTGGATGAACCTGATGGAAGGTTCCCTGAGGATGAAATTTTGCACGATCTACGAAGACGTCGAACCAATTGTATTTTGAAGATGAGGTAAGTATTTTCCCTGTCCTGCCAAAGACACTGACACAATCAGAAGTCTTCTCAATGACAAGAATAAGAACTTGTAGAAACCATTGTCTAAGAATAGGGAGTGAAGTATAGACTACCTAGTGTAAGAGTTGCACCAATCCTTATGAATTATTCAAAGACAATATCTCAGAAAACGGTTAGAAGACTCATACGGCACTTGCGAACCTACGTCACCTGTATTAGTGGTGGGATATCTGACTGCCTGTTAAATAAACAGTATAATGCATAAAATTGTGCAATACGGTCGGGAGGCATGGAAGTTATGTGCAGACTACATATCTTTGAAGAATTACTCTTGCTTTGCAAAGAAACGACCAAGTGAGAGATATGCTATTGCATTAAATACCTGAAGTTTATTAGTTTTTGTACAGTTGTTCACAGTGAAAAATTGATCTTAGAACCATTTTGCACAGAAGGATACGTATTCGTTTTTTCTGAATTGAGGGACGTTGAAAGATGTCCAACTACTATCCACAAAACTTTATTGATAAAAAGAAAAATTAAAACAAGTTGAACGAAACTTTAATCACCTTGAATTAGATGACAATGCCATTTTGCTGCGCCGATAGTGTGGCGACTCCGGTCGATGCACATGTGCCACGTTCTGCGTTACTCGTGACTGACTGAATAACTGTCTCTGACTTTATTAGCTAAAAGCGTACCCTACAACCAAACTGATAGTTATGTATAGAATGTCTTCGGTATCGAATTCACAGTCTACTGTAGTTATTTCATGTAAATATTAGTTATGTGGATGGATTTATCTATATCCCTCGGATCAGTTACATTGGTTTAGTAAAAAGAAAGAGTCTACCTTCGATCCCTAGACTTTCGAAAAATTTCGGCCCACAAGAACTAACAATTTTCGGTAGTCGTATTTCTAGGAATATATTGGCCACAGTACGTTTGATGAACACTAGGAACTACTTTCAGATAATTGATAAAAAATTAACCTGTTAGTTATCAAATTTGCTGAAGCTAGCAAGCTGTTCAATCTCCTTTACGTCCAAAAGAGATAGTTATCTAGTGATCCTGATTTCTGGAAGCAAGACACGCAATACGTTGCATTGCTTTTTGACTTTCTATAGTTCTTAACTTTATTATTGTCTGAGCTTTATTCACTTCAATCTTGGACATCAGTTACTTTTTTTCAGTTACTTAAAAACATAACTTCTTAGTCTTGATTATACGGTTCTTCGCTACCTTCTCTAAAGACATTCCAGAGCCTTTTGTATATGAAATATATTTGCAACAACATATCTAATCTTTCTGATTTTAACTGAACTTTGGTTACACTATGATTATATGTATTGGAAATAACTTCTAATTTCGATAACGTAATAAGAAGACGAAGATTATCAGAACTGTGATATATTAGCTCAATCCATTTCGAACAATCTGATCACACATATAGTATTGGCTTAATATCCAGATTGATTAGGTTTCAAATTATGTTCACTCTTTTTATTATTATCCTTGTCTCCTCTTACCCCATTTCCAGTCTAGTTAACCTTTTATTTTTATATATAAATGTTCTCAACAAGTATATGGGTGATCAGATTGTTCGAAATGTATTGCGCTAATATATCACATCGTTCTGATAATCTTCGTCTTCTTATTACATGATCGAAAACCGACTCCATTGATTCACCGGTTAGGGAAAATCATCAAGTTTTTCTCAATGTTAATTTCATATTTAGTTACTCATGACAATAGTTTATTTGTAAGTTAAATCTATCCCATTTGTAATATCAACCAAGAGATTTTGTATATATAATAAAAACAATTACTTAAAATCCGTTTTTTCTCTAGTTGGTCCAACATAATGCGTAGAATGCTAGTCAAAAGTTATTTATACATTTGCCATTATTATTTAGATTGGTTATGGAGCAAATTCATGAACGAGAAGCTCAACTGTTGAACAATTCAAATAAATTATATTGAATAATCCTCCTATCTGTACTCATTTTTGATAATATATATACCTCACGTTGTATAAAATACTATTTTAAATACATGTTTTGTCGTTAAATCATTATGACATAGGATGTTTATTCTTGAGGAAATCAATAAGAAATATGGTATGTTGGTAGTTTAATTCACTTTAAAGCGTGATCCTGAGCCCGTTGGTAGCTTGCATGAAACAATGCTTTTTGTACTTATTTCCCAATTTCGGATTCGTACTTGAACAACGTACAGTCTGTGTTAGAGATATGTAAGACAAGGGAGATTCGTTATTGTACAGAGGTTTTATAAACCCCTTTTACGGCAGTGAGTGGGCGTAACTCTCAATATGTAGACCAAATTAGAGACAACTATACTTTTGAACTAGATTTTCGCTACTGGGTCTGTTCCTCAGAATATCTGCGCTGCATGGTAATAAATATTACTTACAAGGTACAAGTTTACATAATCGGTTTGTGAGATTGATACTACTCGGTTGCTCGAACTGAAGTAGGCAAAATGGGACTAAAAGTTGAGCGGTTGATCTATTAAACTACCGTTTCCGTTGTTATGGTAGCTGTTTTAAATCTACCAAACTCACGCTTATAAGTCGGCAAACGGAATCGTGAGCAATACTACAAAGCTACGATTAAATTAAAACACCGAGGCTGAAACAGCCACATCATGCAATGTGGCTTCATGACTTCCTGATACCTAGTGAACTATCATTTTGTCAATCCATGTATGCACGAAAATGTTAACAGCCGTAACAGGAATAATTGTAGCAAGGGTAGATTTTCATAAACAGAAAGTCAGGGAAATTGGAGTTTATCTTCGGATAGATCCAACTTATACACAAGTAAAGGAAAGTCAGAACACATGTTAACTTTCAGATTAATTTACCTCAAAATCATTACAAACGAAAAATGGCGCTCGTGAAAAGTTCTCATCGCTTAAATCGAGTGCATACATTTACGTTGTAACAGATTTCTGAAGCACGAAAAAAAAACCGAAAACTTAACTAAAACGCAAGACTATGGAAGCAAATGGGATTAAAATATTTACAGAAAAAGAAGCACACTTAATTCTTTTTATACGCTACTGCCCTGAATGGTATTATTACCTTCAAACATGAAGAACATCAGTCAATATATTAACCAGCTGTCCAGTCACCGTTCAGTGACTTGTAACTTTAGTATCTCCAGTATAAATAACACTTCACTTAATTGACAGCTAAGACGATCAAATTACATCTCCACTCCTTAAACAATTTTTATGACCTAGCATAAGAATCTTTACTTGATTGTTGAGTTGAATGATATTGCTGCGTATGAAATACCATAAAACTAACTTGGAAGTTAACAAAACATCATTTAGAAGTGTTCGATTCACAAAGTAAAACTAACTACTAATTACAAACTAAATACTTTAAAAAATTAAATAACAACTAAAGCAAAAAAATTACGAGTTGTTAGAAAAACACAAGTTACATAGATAAAATGATAAAGATCCCTATAAAGTAGTAATAATAATACGATGACAATGTACATTTGTAGTAATGTTTATTAGGAAATTTTTCAATGAATCGGTATGCCATTTTTAAAACAATCTATTACATATTATACGTATATATAAGTATATTTTAGTTTGCAATAATATTAAATGAGATAAAGTTCCCCTCTAACCTAAAAAGTTATTAATATTACCATCAAAGTTAGAAAAGAAAAAGTTGAACTCTAAAAATTGGTCAGTCAGCAAGATACAATGAACACTATCCATTCATCATTAAATAAAATTTAGAAAAAAAACAAATATGAACGTGTAAGGTGAAATGGTGTGTTCATTTGAACTAACTTTAAGTTAAATACAACTTGTTTCGGTATTATTTATTTACAAATGATAACTAATGGATTTTACATTTCTTCTGGTTATAGTATACCGCGCCTCAATAATGTAAAGATGGAATACGATAGAAATAATTAAATAATTTCTATATATTGATGTTCATAATGGCAGGTTGATAAATGTATGCAACAAACCCAACGAGAACAGAGAGAATCGCCATGATACTTGTTACAACTACAGGACGAGAAGTCTATAAGCAATGAATAAACAACAACAGTATATATTCAACGCTTGGTTAAAAATGATGAATGTTAGTTAAAAATGGCTAAATTTTGATAATTAAATACATACGTCAGTAAAGTGATTCTCTGTCAAAGCTTAGAAATAACTACCACTTCTGAACAGTATCACCAATAAATTCCCGTCAATTCATAGAAGCCTGTATGACTCATACAAAGGGACGGAGCAAATATTCACAAAGGACCACATATACGCTAAAGTATGAAGCTGATACAGTGGGCAAGTCAGCGAATGAGAAAACTAAGTTGTATCAATCAAAAATTTCCGAACGACAAGTACATTTTATTGGGCAAGAAATAGTTTCGTCTTTTAAGCAATATATGTGCTTATGTGAGTGAATCGATTTAGCCTAATAAACTTCTTCCTTCGCTTTCAGTTCGCTCACTGACTGGGAACTTTGTGTATTAGCATCAGTCTCGTACACCACATGTCATAACAAAATCTAATTAAATCAAATCATCAACTTATTGCAAAAATTACAATCCAGATTTACTCACCATCACCAGTTTAACTCTGGAGGCAGCAGATAGTTTTGTATTCTTATTTTGCTTAGTTTTCGGAAACCTACGATTAATAGACCGTGACCAATGCTCTCGTTCTTTCTGTCGTACAGCTTGAGCACGAGCTAACTCAACACTAGCCATTTGTGAACCTGGGGATATTGTTAGTACTTTCTGGAGAATTGGGATAGCATCATCTACTTCTTTCATTTCCAAAAGAGCCTATTATAAAGAATGGTAAAAAAAATATAAACCTGATATGCTTGTAATAACATTGAACGTATGATTATTGTTCAACAAAAAAGATAACATTTAGCAGCAGTCAAGAGCATTATGAATTCAGATAGTTTTTCCTTAAATATAATTCGATCGGCGATCGGTCAAAAAGTATCGACATAAATCTGATCTATCAGTTGGTAGATATACTGTTACATAGATCGGTATGATTATATTCGCACGCATAAGAAACTGATTTATCATACGTTGAGGGGTGATTTCGGTCCTTGCACTGATTATACTTGGTTTAATAATAAAAACGTAATTATACTATCTGATTAGGCGTGAAAATGTTACAATAAAAGTGTAACCAAGTAGCTTAATATAAAACTGATGCAAGAAAGCGAGTACATAGTCCGCTAATGTGAGGATTTATAAGCATTAATAAGTAATTTATCTAATAAATACGCAGCGTTAAAATAATTTTTATTTTATGTAATTTCGAAGACAACTGTTATTCACCCTAAGATAATCACCACCTGTGACAACACAACTGTCCCATTTTCATTAGTTAAAACACCCTGTCACATGGTTTTACGTTTTCAACTACAAACGCTTTGTTGGGAAGGAGTGCACAAACTACCTGAGTACTTTAGTTTGGGTACCTATTGAACTAATTATCTACTTGGATCCCAGCTGAGTTCATGATTCACTAAGTGATCAACTGTACTGGAATTTTTGTAAATAAATAATATATTAACTGATACATAACCAAAGTGACGGTGTTCAGCTAATATACTGGCTCTAATGAGCTTAAATGTCTGGAATGGCTGCACCTTGAAGCCGTATGATGTCAAAAAAGGGAAAGCAGCTAATGTCGAATTGGAAATTATATCGCGTCACATTTTAGGGCAAAATATAGGTGGCTATTGCATTCAATACCTTTACCTCTCAATATACTTGTGGAATGATGCCAATAAGGCGTTTTTCTGAAAACGACTATTATTTCAAATAATAAATTAAGTCAGCAAAGAATGACCCAGAGATGCACATGTTCTTTTTTTTCAACCTTCCTGACAGCTTTTTGAAAAGACGAAATCCCGAAAACTGAGGTAAATACAAAGGCTAATGAGACGACAAAATCAATGTTTGATATTCGTCTTCGAAGATTCGGTAACTTTTGTATGGAGCCACGCAGTGTATCGAAAATTTTTTAAATGGCATAATTTGCACAAAACCCCCGAAATAAGTCATTTAGTCAAAAACAATGGAGGATTCAGTATGTGCAATGATTCAAGTTGGCACAGCACACCAACATAACGACGAAAACTATCGGGATATATAGCACAAGAGTCGAAACAGTAATGCTATCTAATATAGTAAGAAAAACTACATATACATAGCAAGGTTCAAACAGAAAAGATATATTCACGAGATTAAAAATCAGCAGTGATATTTCGAAAAATAAGATCTAGAAAAGAACAGCGAATAAGTTCGAATGATGTCCAGCGAATACAAGGTGTTAAAATAACCGTACCTTAAAGAATTACAAGAATAAACCAAATGCCCTGGTACGGTCGAGAGTGGGGAGAGTCAACTCTCCCTCTCGAAGTGCTCTCACATGGCCACGTGCATACAACCTTCTTGTGGCACGGGTGTTGCTTACGAAATTGAGAGGGTGAAAAGTGAATGTCTGGCGCTTCATCCGATTTATGTGGCGCATTTCTATTTGGTGCCTCCTTGTACCAATGTTTACGTTTAAATAAATAAAATAATAAATATTATAAAATCATAAATATTAGCGTACCAAACAAATAACACACAACTGACCTTTCCTTTTCTGAATAAGGCCTTAATATTTTGTGGATCGCTTTGCAAAACAGCATCACAAGACATGATAGCGGCATCGTATGCTTCTACCTATATACAAATTATATATATATATATATATATATATATATATATATATATATATATATATAGAGAGAGAGAGAGAGAGAGAGAGAAGGGAGAGACGATAAGCATTAGTTGATAATGTTCTAAATGGACTAGAATAACATATTAAAAACAAAGTCTGATATTTTGTAATGCATTATATTGGCGACTATGTGAAATTATTGCATATTTATTTTACGTACCAAACACTATCTTGAGTAGTGAGATCGAGAACATTCACCAGTTTATTTACAAGAGAACGTCTTTTAAACGCATTATTAGTACAATTCAAAATTCTCCATAGAATATTATTAATGCTAAAGTATTTTAGAAATGCAAATTAGTGACTATACATGGCATTTTAACTAGGCCTACAACTCCTATATGGTCTACACTGATCGAACACTTACTTAATCCATCAAATTTCGTGACAGCAATAAAATCTGAAATGATTGGCGATTATTTCTAAATTTATTGATGTGATTACCCAGGGTCTATTGCTCATTTACACAACTTTAGATGCAAAGGATTATTCTACATCGAGGAAGCCCCAAAAGCCCTTATACGGCCGAGGGTGGGGAGAGTCCGCTTTCCCCCTCAAAATGCTCTCATATGACTTCCCGGTTGCCCACACGACGAAAGAGTTCTTCTGGAGGTACCTGAAAAGGAAATTGGGTTAGAGGTCTTAATGGACTGAGAGTGCAACTGGTGTCCAAGGGACAACTGCTTGAGGTCGCTCACATACGCATAAACATACAATGCCTTATTGTACTAATGTTTGTGTTTAAATAATAAATAATACAGTCAGGAATAGCTAAACCTGAGGCAACGATGACCAACCATAACTATGTGGTTAATAAAAATCCACTGAATTATATGGCTAGTAGATGTTGGCAACAGAAGTTGATGTACTAGGCTACCAACCAAGTTGGTCGATTTACACAGAGCCAATGGTTGAAATCGATTGGTTGAAATGCTCAATCATAGATACACTAAACAACCTCTGGTCTACCTCTTTCTGCCATCTCGATATTTCAACAAGATACCTGTTTTGATATTGATGTTATCACGAAAAGACAGTACTATTCAGCCGTCACATTTTAAAGCATCGCAGATCTCTAGATCGTATCTTAATGACCACACAAACCACTGGTTTAAGACCTTATCAACAACCCCGATCGAAGCTGCTACCTTGACGCGGTGATCGGGCTTGCCTATCGTGATGACCCAATTGAGCTATATTGGCTGCAACATATGTTTCCGTAGGTTCTACCATGCCAGGCAGGTCGATTGGAGAACGGTAAGACTAAAAGCAGCAGCTCAAGTTCTGAGGGTGAAGTCTTACTGCTGACTGTAGAGGGCAGTGACAGCAGTATGGTGTTTTCCTCAGACAGCCAGCATCTGCAGCGATGCTGCCTTCCCACAAGGAGGGGTGGGGTTAGAAAAGGTCGACCCTAAAAATGTCACACCTTACCTTACCTCACGGATTTCCGTCTCCGGCGGTAAGGCCCTTTGAAGAACGGGGCTAACACATTAAAAACCTTCCACGAAAAGGCCGTGCGCGACCGGCCTCAAGCAGTTGTCCCTTGAGCTCTGTGGTCACGCTCCCAGGTCGTTAAGACCAACACTAATCCAATTTCCTTTTCAGCTTCCTCGAGAAATGTCCTTCCACGGTGTGGGCAGCAGGGAAGTGATATCAGCCCTCATACCCGTAACAGCACACTAACTGACTTGTCAACGACGGTTCGAAGTCGAAATACGTGATGTAACTGGTGAAACCCTCTTGTCTACTACTAACAACCGAAACAAGATTTTCCAAACTACTTCACAATATTACGAATAAGACGCAAATATCAGGGTTTTTTATCAGAACCAAAAAGAAATCAGAGATAAAAATACAATCATTTAGTGTATAGTTTAACGGAATTTTAAAAGGCAGCTCCCGGCGAAATATTTTAAGTTTGGGCAAAAGATATACAAAGTGGATTGGTAAAGAAATGATATTTAATTGATAACTTATTCATATGCTTTACCTTTAACTGGGCAGCTGCAAGATTATTTTCTAATTTCAACTTCGCATCATTAATAAGCTCAGCCGGACAGTCCGTTTCCGGAAGTTTCTCTTCTGAAGATCGGGTAGGAGGCACAGGAGGCAACTGTAAAATTTTCAATGCTTTGTTATAACTATCGATAGCGAATGCAAATTCTTCTCTCCTGGTTTAGAGATATCATTTAATTTGATTTCACCTACCTGTAGTAATAGTTGCCCCTATCTTTCTTCTGATTGGCAACAGCAAGTCTTTCCGAATTCGACATACTGGCATAACAAGGAGGGTCATCGACTTTTAAAACTTCGATGCGATAAGTTAACTTTGCCCCTGATGGTATATCAGGACCCCTGAGAAAATTGAGAAGTATCTAAAGTTGATGAGAACCTCTAACAGCCAAAATTGTATCTATTACATTTATTTTTTAAATAAAAAACCCGAGTTCCAAGGCTAATGAAAATCCGATACAAAGCTTTAGTAAGAAACTTACTTGGAAGCATACCATGACGTTAATGCTCAACTAACAATTGACACTAACTTGATAATTATGGTTTATTTATGGCAGTCCTCAGGTCAAAGTATAGTAACTTTATTTATTTATTTGAACACAAACATTGGTACAAGAGGGCACCAAATATATATGCGCCACACTATCAGTAATGACTGGGACGTATATTAATAAGAATTGCCATTTTAAGGTTGATTGGGTAGTCGTATAATTACAGGTAGTCACAATGCAGTCTGCCGCAGAAACATAAGGATGGCAACAGCGAAATATCCCTCCCGAGTCCTTACTACGTTTGGTTATTCTGCTTTTCTATTTCGATGGGTAAATAAATTTTGGCCTTAAGACTATTGCACGCTACCTTAATATACATTCAACTGTTGTTCGGAACAGTTTCCCAATGGCTAAATAACCGGTCAAGATTATTATTACAACGAAAAGCCATGCGTAAAGACTCAAGTGGATAATTTTTGGTTTGTGCTACACAGAACCATTATCGGAGAGACTATAATTTATGAAAACCACAAATCCAACTCCTAACTCTAACCATCAACTGTAAATCACAATCCCCATTCTTCACACTGCTTTATAACCCTACCCTAGTCCTGGTAAGGTGGACATCATCAAGGTCACTCAAGCGTCGCTCTAAGGTCGTACATAAAGTGTAGTATCATCCTCAAAACTACAGCTTAACCCTTAATACATAGCACTACGTATGTAAATGTAGCTAAAAAAAGCATCCTAAAAAAGTTGGAAGCGCAAATATTACGGCATGGAGCGATTTCGGAACAAATCTTGTGGGAGAGTCATTTTTCACAACCTACCGTCCACGAGATCCATAAGCGAACCGGGAGTCAGTTGTCAGTTCGAATATCTCTTTGTGCTCAGCCAGTGGAATAGAGAGGTCAAATGCTGTTCTAAATCCTTAATTTAAGAATGCTCTCTTACCATGTATTATGTCGCCATCACCTAGGACCATTTTCACATTTTCGGCGTCGTCAACAAGCGTTCCATCTTCCAACCAACATTTGTAATTTACAACGACAGAATCACCATGACTGGGACGAGTTTCCCCACCGAGACCTTTTTTCAAAGTCTAGAGAAAAGTTATTAGTCAACTAAGTTTGCCTTTTTAATGACGAGACCATTCCCTAAAACATCGATAGTCTCCACACTACTAGCACCAGCATCTTGATCAGGTGACTCAGATAATTTAACGTCGGCCGCGGATTCACTTGTGCTGCCATCTGCAGCTATTTTTTCAGAATATTGTTGCACATTGGAACTCTTCGACTGGTTGTCGTACTTCTGACCTTTCTTGCGACCCATGCGTTGGGTAACCTTTAAGATAAGCGCCCACAAAGTTTCAAACCTCAAATTTTGCTCAGTAGAAATAATGAACAGTTTGTTTCTTGAGACCTGTGTATGATGAACAAAAATGCAGTATTGTCCATTGAAAGTGAGAAAGGCTCAAATTTCTTACTAGATTTGAAGAGCAAAGACATTTGGGGAAAGACAATGAGTTTTGCTACGATCTGAGGTTACTAACCTCTGCCGTATTTATCACGCTAAAGTTTCAATTAAAGGACTGTAATCATTGTCTCTAGTAATAATTTGGTCCTTGTGAAACCTTAGCTATCTCTTTTTGACGTTTCCTCCTTGGTACTGTAGCGGAAAATAAATAACCCTGTAAGTCTTCGGCGTGGTACCTCATCACTTTCAATGAGCACACCTAGCTGGAGGGGCTCAGCCGCGCATCCGCACGAGACCACGAGTGGGTAAACCGTGCTACGCATCATTTGCAACCGGTAGCCAGCTTAGATCTGTAGTGTCAGTTATTATGTTAAGCCCATATACTTTATTCTAACTTTCGGACAGCCCAATCTATTCATTCTACTTGAGTCATATTTTGACCTTGTTAATTATTCCTTATCAGTCTTGACTGTTTTTATATGAGCGTATATGCGTGTACACTTGATATCCCATGTCTCATCGAATGTCTGTAGTTTATTTTTTCTGCCTATAAATATTGAGTAACGCCTGGCTAAAAAGGAGTTGGCTTACCAGCCATCTCCCCTGCGCGTCATTTTGCTTTGTCCTACTACATTCACTTTACATACAAAATACATGTATTCAAAGGCCATTCTCGGTAATTGACTTATCTAAATTCCGTTATTGACTAACGTGATTTAAGTTGATGATTGTATACGAGGATAGGTGATAACGAACATTTATACGATTTAATTGGAGTCAGGTCCACGGGCCACTAAAGATCAAACGCTTCTCGAGAAATCGTTAGCCGTTCAAATATATCTTCGAACTTCTCCGTTTTTGACTTCGGATTTCGTCGGGTTGACAGATTCCGGTTATAAAAGGTGTTACTACTTAGGAAGTTGTCAGACTCTGAATATCTGTGGCATCTTAAGTGAGCTCGATGAGATCTGGTACACAAACAGTATGAGTCTGTCGCTTGTTGGAAAATTATATATCATTTATTAACTTTATTTTTACATATTGTGATAGTGTTTTCATATTGTCAAATATTTTTCTCTCCCGTTCATTGATGCACTTTATATATATCATGACGGAACAAACCCCTAAGTTATTTGAGATTAAGACTCTTTAACCTCCCACATTTCAGCTCATCCATTCTGGCCCGATAATATCTAATCCTGATTTTGGTACGCAAAAGCTGATTTCCACGAGCACTGCTTGACAGACCCACGTACATAATCCCTCGATGTGATGAAGGCACTGCCGCGGAATTTTAACAGGTATTTCACACGTAGTATGTTTACTAGGGATGTTCCGGAACCTTACGAAACTTTAATAAGAGGCTATGCCTACACACAGAGAAATAACCGACCGACAAAGCTTGGATCAGCTTTTCCATAAATCGAGTTGCAAAATGGCTCAACAACAGAAATATCGATACAAATTCGAACGGTCATTTAACGAGGGTCTGTTTAGACAGCTATTCTTGTCAAAGCTTCCCCAATAGTGCAGGCCGTCCTCGTCTCGTTTGAAAGTAACTCTGCAGATGAAATGACTACATATGCATTGGAACATCCAACATCGAGGTTTATTGTGTCGGAGAAAAGTCTCCAACAACACAAAACGACGTCACAGACCTCTCACACTCTGACTCGTCATCTTGATCTTCATCGCGACCGTAGACGCTCTCAAACTCCTCGAAGGAGTTCTTCACGGAAACAGTCTGCCTCTAGATCACGAGAGACAGATAATCCAGATTAGCGTTTGCATCATAATCAGTATGGAAAATCTCGAAATTGCAGAAGACTCTGCGATTTCCCGATCCTCAAGGCGGCCCACACGATAAATGATTTGGGAAACTCCTCAGTCCGCACGCGTTAACGGCAACCGTAGCTGGAGAGCACAGCCATCTGTCATACATCACTGACATGATTACGAAAGTCCGCCACTCAATCAACATTGGCTCAGAAGTTAGCGTTCTTCCTGACAATCCAAACCACCGACTGCATAGACAAGTTTTTAAATCACAGACGGCAAATGGAAGAACGATTGCCAAGTGTGGGAAGCGATATATTTATTTTAGCGTGGGTTCACGCGAACCCATTCACGAGATCTTCGTTGTTGCAAATGTTTCTATGCTAATCATTGATATAGACCTCCTGCAATAGTATAACCTACTCAGCGGCATGCGAACGGATTTTAGAAGACGGAAATACATATTGTCTGTATGTGTAGCTTCTTTCTCCGATTGTAGATTGTCCCAAGTAACAGTAAGACACATGCTAGATTCATACTATCACAAAATGCTCGATGAGTACCCCGAGCTATACTAAAAGCGGCCGAAACTGCCATGTGTAATCAGCAATCTTACACATCACATCACGACTAAAGGACCACCTGTATTCTCGAACGTGCTTCGACTAGCTCCTGAAAAGCTGAGGTTGGCCAAAAGCGAATTCAACCATATAGTGGGCTCTGGAATCATTCGTCCATCAAACAGCTCATGGGCATCTCCCTTGCACATGGTCCGTAAAAAGAACGGCAATGATTGGCACCCAACTAGTGACTATCGAAGACTGAATGCCAAAACCATACTTGATTGTTACCTGTCGCTTAACAATCGTAGTTTGACAGCTACCCGAAAAGATACAACTGTTTCTTCCAGATCAATCTGTTATAAGACTCTAATCAAATTTCATGGCTGCTGACAACAGATCTTAAATCGCTAGCATCATCCCTAGTGCACTCTAAGAATTTTTCCTCATGCCATTCGGTTTGAGAAATAGTACACAAACTTTCCAGAAACTCATAGATCTCCTCAGAGGTCTCAAATTCGTACACGCCTATGTAGATAACAGCTTGATCGCAAGTCCGGACAGAGAATATCATCTCCAGAATCTAGATCTTGTTTTCGAACCACTCCAAAAACAACATTCGTAGTAGCATTCTTACTATTAATTTTGATAGCAGTTAATCTCTATCAAGTCCTTTCATCTAACAATGTTATCAACATAGTAACCACTTATTTATTTATTTGTATCAGTAGAAACGCTATCATACCTACTTAAATGTGTATATTTGAACTCTTGTTACAGCCCACGCATATTTCTGCCTAACTCAAATCTTAATCGCTTAAATACAGCTCGATGTATTATTCTCCTTCCCTCATACATGTACTTGTATTGCAAAAGCAATCTTTACTTTGGATCACTATGTCTTTATTTGATATGACTATAAATTTGCCCCTATATTCGCCTGCAATAATTCTTTGGCGCTTTCACTTCATGCCCGCTTGGTGTGATTGTAATTCTGTGCCCGCGAGGTTATTTTACAAGTTGTAGTCTCAGTTTCCTATCGCATTCGGAATTCAGTCCCATGGGGTCCCCATAGTAACGGTTATCGTGGTGAGGGTTTAATGAAGCCCGACGCGCGAAGACGAATTGAGTCCCAACGACACAATCCAACTTTGCATAATTCAACAGACTGTGCATCGATTTGGATTACTGCCTGGATCATAATTATAATTGTGGATTTCTACATCATTATATTTATCATACGTACATTTCCTTATAGATATTGTTGGATATAACGAATACAGTCATCAGAAATAATATTTCTCAAACAATTGGTATATTCGTGCAATCTAGTAAGTCTGTTCCATATTATAAACTGCACCACTTGTTATTATCATTGTTATTAACCATCTGTTACTCCTTTTCGACATTTACATTACTTTATAGGTACCATCTATTTTTTTTAATAAAAATGTCTGGGGAAAATAACGTGTTAAATGTACCCCAAACGCTGTCCTTGAGGTCCTTTTAATGCAACCGACCCGCAACTGTGGTTCATAAGACTTTAAAATTATTTTTTGTCCAATCTTGTTGATTTGTAAAGAAATAAATTCGGTCATGCAAGCACGCTTCTCATAGACAAAATAGAGGATAGTGTGCGAGTGACTTTAGCCAAACTAGTAAAAGTTATTAGGGTGAACGTCTAATGAAACTACGCTCACTACTAAACATTACTGAAAACACTGAGAAATGTAAAATTGGAACCGACTTTCTAGTTTCTCTCGAACACATCACTGGTACTCAATGAACCCACCTTCTGAACGGCGAATCGGTGACTACTCTAAGCTATCAAGATCCAACCACAGTCAAGCAATTACACACGTCCAACGGCCTGATGAGTTCTTATCAGTGGTCATACCGAATTGAGCGTCTCTCACGAGACGCATAACAAACCAACTTCGTGGAAATGTGAAAATCATCAATTTGGACATCTCAAAGAAAGCAGTTAGGGAACTGATAGCAAGATCAACATCGCTTGGACATCAAAGCACCTAGTAGTATCGCTGTGGACTCATCCGACTTGGGAATCGGAGGATTCTAACAACATTTGATAAACGACACATGGAAACCTTTGGCATTCTTCTCGAGATGGTTGCAAGACACTGAATCGAGACAAAACACTTACGGCAGAATGCTATACAACACTTTCAACACTGTAAAAGAAGGAGAATTCACTGTCTACTGACCACAAACTCCTCACCTATTCGTTAAGGTCATCTTGATATCACACCTCATGTTTACAATACGTATGTGTACCAGTTTGTTTTTCATTTCACACATGTCCGATCGTATTTCGACATACAAGCTACAATTTCCTTGTTTAATTCCCAGGATAGCTCGAAAATATGAGTAAAACTTTATCGTACATTGTCTCCATTGTTATATCGTAACAAGTGGCCTCGTATATTGTGAAAAAAACAACTAGATGCTGGTGAACATAGCAAGTTATTAAGAGAGTGTTTATCAACAACAAATTCGTTG